TGCCACATCTTCTAAACTGTATGCTCAGATGCTTCAGGGTGCTTCAAACTCCCAGAAGAGATGCAGAATCTTTTAAACTGAAGGAAAACATGGAGATACTCAACGTGTTGGGCATTTCCCAAACTATTACCATGACGTAGAATTCAGTTTTAACATTAGGTTGCAGAGCATATCTTTGTAGACCAGGGTTTTCAGTGGTTACTCTGATAAACAGCAAGCACCACTCCAAAATCAGTATGGAACAGGAAATAAGGATGGAGCTGTCCAACCTAATTCCAAGGTTTGAAAAGCTGTTCAACACTCAACATTGGTTACTTGCAAAGGAAATAACTCATTATTTACAAAGGAAATAAGTTCTTTTCAACTTATTTGCATTACTTCTGCAAACAGCTACTAGAATCGTTAGGACAAATATTTAGTGTTTGGACCTCACTATTTAATAAACAGAACTGTGGCTCTAGCAGTGCTGTGAAAAATTTAATGAGACATGAAAACAATCAAGTTTAGGAACTTCTTAATGTTCAACATTAACTTAATGTTGTGAATGGCAGAGGAAGCTTCCAGTACACAGCAACTATTATTTCATGATTATTACTCCTTTACAATGTGCAGTTTAACTTCACATTCTGTGAAAGTGATCTCTAAAATACTGTCCTATAGTTTTATGGTTCATATTTCCATGACAAAAGAAAAAAAATAGGTATTCAAACAAACTCAGAGAAGTAACCTGGGGTAAAAGCAGGTTTGGAGTTAAATGATTTGACCTTCCTGTCTACTAAGTACATGATATGAGTCCTGATTTGATTTAAAGTAGGCTACTTGGAAAACCTGAAAATAATCTTACCACTAGACAGATAAAAGCAATTACTCGTTACTATCATACTAACATGTGGTATCAAAAAGAAAAAAACTCTAATTTTAAGAGTTAGGAATTTGCATCACCAGCTTACATCCCCATCTTTTAAACAACTGATCCATACCTTCTGTTTTTACAATCATCCTCCATTTCCCCTGGGTTGACCTTCTCTTTGCTTCATCTTCTACTAGGATACAATTACGAAGTAAATTATTCACCTTTACCAAAGTATGAGATGGGATGTAAAATATGAGATAGCTTGTAAATTTAATGTATATATCTGTCTGACTGGCTACTTGTCCTTTCCCTGTAATGATCTTTCTGTGTGTGTAACTGTAGAAAGACAAGGAAAACTGAACCAGACAGTATACACCGTATACTAGTCACAGAGAATCTATTTGCGACACTGCACCATTGCTTCAGACATCAAATTTCAGTTTAATTCAACATTTTTCTGGACTAGTAATTTTCAAAAGCGAGTAACACAAAAAATGGGTTCACTACTAAAACATATTAACTATCATCTAAGAATAAGAATGTTTCAGAAGTTTTTAAAAAAACAAATGAAACATGTAAAGAATTAATAATGAAATTATTTTCCATCTAAGGAAAAGTAATTTTGAAACAAATTGTTAATAAGTCATTCACACACATTTTTAACTGGCATTTCAGAAATTCCTTAATAATGTGTTAACAGTTATTTTCAAAAGGATTTTTCAGTGACAAATCTAAACAACGTATATTTATCTTTTATATGAGCAGTTCCATCAAACAGCAATTCTTTAAATGATAGAAAATAAATTTTAGAGGAAAAGGTACCATACTTTCAAGCAAGAAGTAATTTTTTAACACCCCGGTAATCTTGTTTGGGTTAATTTTTCCCCCATGCCACTAATTTAGTTATTTATTCTGCAAGTGCGAGTAAAACCCTACTAAGTACTAGGGATACAAGGATTACTAAAACAAGGGCCTCTTCTTCAGACCACAGCACCCAGACACAGAAGCCTGAGCACAGTTTGACATAATGTAAAGGCACTACACTAATAAAAGTTAAAAGTGTTAAGGGAATATTAGCACTTGGTTCAGGCTGAAGGTCTCAAGAAAACTAGTTATTAGCTCTATAAGAGACAACAATAGCACTGAAATTTAGGAAGCACGGTTATTTTGGATAAAATTTGCAAGTCAGAAAAGTTACTCCATAACCTGTCATAGAAAGGCCTATACAAACGATGTTCAGAAATTATTACCCCAAGTTAATTATATCAGAATCTCTCTTGGGAAGGAGGCCACGCACCATATTTGGAAAACCTCCCCAAGTGATTATAATGTGCAGCCAGAGCTAAAAACCACTGGCTAACTGATTAATTAAGACATAGAATCATGACTGATTTAAGCTGAGAACTCTATCAACATAAACACAGAGTTCTGAGGCTGGATTAATGGACACTCAGTACCTAAGAGGATCCATGATCTGAGATTATTTTCATTTGCACCCTTTTTTTGATATGTGCTAAAATATGAAAGATAAGACTTCATACTGGGTATCTCATGACAGTTCTGGCATAAGCCAAGATAACTGATTGCCAATCCTCAACAATATGTATTGCCTAAAATGTCTACTTTTTAAAAATTCACTCTTTAAAGCCTGGATAACTGGAGCCTGTAGAAATCATAAACTTCGAGTCCTGTGTGAGTCACTTTCACCAGGTATTTTCAAGAAAAACACCTGCATACAAGCACATAGAAAACAAGAAAAACAGCACATAAAAAGTGTTCATCTTGTGATACAGACTAAGTTCTAGAGAAATGAAGGAAGAGACAAAACTGAACTTTAGTTGGTGGGTAGGACAGATTCTCAAGAGCCGTGACTGACAGGCTTGGACTGGAAAGGTAGAGAAAACCATTCCCGTAGTCTCGAAGAATGATGAAGAAACAACATGATGAAGGTTGGAGAAAGCATGGTGGTATTTTGGAAAAGCACTGAGAAAAAACTAGTCCCCTTAAAGGAGATCAACACTGGACAAACAAGGTGGGGCCAAAATATGGAAGGCCTTGACTGAGATGTTGAGAGTGTTGAACTTAATTTTACTGAAAAGTGGGGTTATACTTTGTTTTAATATAAAAAATGATTTTAGAAGATTCTTCTGATAGATTAATACACAGGATGCACTGAAATTCAAGGGGCTGGGATTGCTGAAGATATAAACACCTCAGTATTTTTCCAAGCACTGTTTCCTGAATACAACAGACATTTAAAAACGTGCAGGTTTTAAATATGAACTCTTTACAGCACAAATTGGCCTCACTCCAAATTGGATGTCAAATTAATTTTACAAGTCAAATGATTAACAAAAAGGCCTGTTAGCTCTTAATAGTATTACTGTAAAGTTTATAGTAGGGAAGTTAGTAAAGACCCAAGAGATTATATGCACACTTATGCTAGCTTTACCAAGAAAGGCAATACTCATATTTTTTTCTCCTGAAAGAATTGCTTAGTCTAAATCTAATGAAAATAAATAGAATCAATAAATAGCTAAGACAGTATTTTAAATAACTATTTTTCCTTAAAATAAGTGTCAATGACAAAATGGATGGTTTGGAGAGTTTGTTTTTTAACTATTATTTGGCATAAAAAAAAGGCTGCTGGAGTTGTGGAAGTGTGTTTATACTTAGGCTTCCTGAAAAGTATAGCAATAATCCCAGTAATAATAGATAATATATACTTTGTAGCTGAAAATATGACTCCCTATTATTACCAGTAACCACAATTAAAGAAACTTTCAGAATTTAGACAGGTTAGGAAATCAGGTAATGTCACCAAAGAACATAAGCAGCTGGAAGATATTTCATTATTTCATATACTAAACCAAACCCTTTCCCCCCCACATATTTTTTTAAAAGAATGCATTCAAATAAAAATTATATTTGCAGTATGAAAAAATATGCTATGAAAATTAATACTGCAGCAAGTTCTATTTTGGTTTAAATATAAAAATCATTTTGAATAAGAGCATACTGATTGTGTATAACCCATATTATTAATACTTGTTTTAGAACACGTATAGCCCCTTCCTGCTCACTCAAGCCAGGTTCCCATATATACCAAAAATATGTATATTGCTTATACATTGTTATTTTAAGACTTTTCATTACATCACTACTCTTTTCCCCAATCAGGATAGAATTTTGCTATTTTAAGAGTATTAAGATCAGGTTAACACTTTAACTGATGTTATTATTCTGTGTGCAAAGATTAGGGTCTTACTACTCTCTTTAACTTATAGAATCAGAAGAAAAACTTAATGGTTTAAAATTTTTAGGGGCTTATATTTGTTAGTATGACTTTTCACCACTACTTTCAATCTTCAAAAATAGGACCAGTAATTAAACTGATGCCAACACATCAAAAACAGGAAAAAGAACAAGCAGTTTTCTTTTTTCACTAGGAAGCGTTTAAAAACACAATCACATTTCAAATACCCCAAACCGGCATTATATGCCAAAATCTTATATTAAAAAAAGTCAATTAAATCAATCTTCTTATTTTTAATTTCATCCATTTATCCATAAAATAACCTAAATCATCCTATTTTACTATTTTTCTGGTGATGCAGTCATCCTTCTCTTTAAAACAGACTATCAAAATAATCTTTTAAATAACACAATCAATCATGTATCTCAAATGAAATTTTATCAGTTTTCAATTCTTGTAAGGAAAATATTCCAAAAATATTAGATAAATACTCTTAAAGTTCATAACTCTAGCTGTCTGTAAGAAATTTTGTTCATTTCAGCAAAAATGTCAAGCAAGCCATTGTATGGATTTACATGGTGTGACAGAAACAATTTCTTCAGAAAGAAAATTTTACTTTTAGAAACAACAGAAGAACCCAGAAAAACAAACACCTATAACCAAAGCTTGCATCTCTCCCCACCCCCAAGAGAAACCTGAAGTAGGAGACAGGGAAGAAAATGAAAGTTTAAAAGAATATTTAAGGTTTGATTAAAGGAAAATAAAAGCATAATCTGTTAGATGAAATACAGTGAGGGGCTTGTGAGGGGCTTTTCTAAAAAATGATTGAATGTGAATTATTTCAAATCAAAACAGAAGCCATGATCAGTTGGGTTATAACGGATGACTTACAGAGCACGGCTACAGCCCCAGACTCGAACATGAGACATTCTTCCTTATGCCTAGTTTCCACTATGAGACTGAAAGGTGGGGGGTCCAATTTGTGATAAATCCGAAATCCTTTGCTGAACGCCATTCTTCTCTCTTCAGAGGCAGCCCTGTGAAAACCACGCAAAGCAAAACAAATGAAGCTACCGTTTCCTTCGGCAGCAAGGACTGCAAGGCATCCAGAAGTCCCTCCCTGCCAGGTTTTGGCAGGGGGTGGGGTGGAAAAAAGGAGCTCAGGGAGAGAATCGCTTATTCCAAAAGATAAGTCGTCACTCAATTTTACCAAAAAGCAACAGGAAAAGCTACCAATTCTCAAGGCAAGACAAGGTTCTATCACTCTCAGTCCATGAACAGTTTGGTTAACATAAGTTTCCCGTTTACTTTGCTTACCAAAAGGAAAAAAATCTGAGCGTATTTTCGTTCGGAGTTGTTTATTAGCTTCCTGCTTCAGGATTTGTCACTACGCTGAAAGGGAACCGATTCGGAAACTTCAAGCCGTTCCTTGGTGGGGAAGGGAGAGGAGGTGGGAGGGAAGGGTAACCAGGCCGGTTCAAAGCTCCTTAAGGGTCGGCGGGAGGGACTGGATTATCCGAGCCGACGAGCTCTCCCGGGGGCGGCGGCGTAGGGCAAGGGAGGCGGCACAGGTTTCCGCCGCCGCCCTCCCAGCCCTAGGCCACCGCTGGCTGGAAGCACCGCAAACGGGAGCCCGTAAATATGAATGGCCACCCGGGACGAGTCACGACTCGAGGAAGGGACCCGACTGGGGGGGTCTTCGGGGGTCCCGGGCAGTCGGCGGCCTGGCCGGTAGCTCCTTCCCAGGGGGACGGGGCCGCCAAGCAGCCCAACCCTCCATTACGCGCCAGAAGAGATGACCCGGCGGCCGGAGCGACTCGAGTCCCTTCCCGCGAACAGGGTGACAGCCGCTGTCACCACAGCTCCAGGCCGGACGCGGCCCCGCACAACCCCGCTCGCCCCCGCATGTCCAAGCCAACCACGGTTGCCCCTCACCGTTCCCGCGCAGGCTGCGGCGGTCAAGACTGCCTCAGGAAACGTCCGCCAGCACGCCAGACTGCCGGTGGGTCTGGCCGCGGCCGCTCCCCGCCCCCCCGCCGGCTTGCTCACCTCTTCCTCCGGCTCCTCCTCCTTCTTCTCCCGCAACCACCGCCACCACAGCCGCCGGAAGCGTCACTTCCGCTCCAGCAGGCCCATCTCTTCCGCATTGCGCCGCAGCCGGGGGCGGAAGGACCGCCTCTTGTTATGAAGGGGCGGGGCGTCAGGATGGAGGCCCCACCCACTCCCGTGCCCTGTAGGGGCCCGGCTCCGGTGGGCTGCCGGTCGCCTACACGCGCAATGACCTTCACTTCGGCCCGCGTGTCCCCCAAGCCGCAGCTGCAGATCCCAACCCTGGGGATCCCGGGAGAGGGAGGATCCAACCTCCCTGGCCCCCCTCTGCAGTTTACCAACCCTCCTTGTGGGCGCCAGGGAGGGACTCTGAGGAAAGGCTTTGGGGGCTGGTATTGACACGTGCCCAAGATGGGTGTCAGGACCACCTCCTACCTCCCCCACCAGCCTGACGGCCGGAGGGGAGCGCTCAGGACAGTCAACGCGCGGGACCAACCGGGCGGCGCCTGGAGAGCTGTCCATGGTGTCTCTTCGCCAACAGCGCCGAGTTTCATACTCCGGCGTCTGGGTAGCAGATGGAAAACGAAGGCCTGCCTGCTTTGGAACAACTGTGCTCGCCGCCTTTTCTTCCGGTGTGTTCTGGAGCTCTCAGGAGTAGGATAGCAATGAGCTCAGCTGTACAAACGGTGGAGCGTGGGAAGTCACAAACCAGAATCTCAGGACTGAGTCAAGACATGGCTGTTACTGAGGCAACTATAGTTGTCACTGAATGGCAAATAGCTTTTGCCAACCATGGAATAAAAACTAAACGTATCTAACCCTTACATCTTATTCTCATTTTTAAACAAATCATACTTCCTGGCTAATATCAGTGTGTCCCACGTACTTCTCATTCTGTTTCGACATAATAGACCTAAATATGGAAATGAAGTTAAAGCCAATGGGGCCAAAAGGAATTGAAATCCTGATGAACCCAGCACTCTGAGAAACAATTTCACTTGCCTTTGCTTTTTCTTTACCTCTTCCCGTTCTTGCTTTAATAGCAAAAGCATAATTTAAATTTGGCATATTGCACAAAATCACTTCCCCTTCCAGGCTGTCATGTGGCTCAATTTAACATTTCATCCGTTTTAGAGAAGCTGGACCCATTCTGGTTTCAGGATACCGAAGTAGCTGTAATTCATTGGAAAAGCCACTTCTTTTCTAGAAGATATGCAAAGACACTTGGGTTTCATTCTGGGAACTGCAAAGGATATCCCTCTCATTTATCTCCTTAGGAAAACTGTTTTGCCCTTTGTAGTGGTTACTCACAGGAGCCTCAAAATGAAACTGGTCCACAGTTGCTTTTTCCCTCACCCCCAGGCGATTCTATTTCAATTGGAGATTACATTTGACAGAGAAAACTAAATGGAAGTGGGTAAGAATGGCATTTTTCTTATTTGCCTTTTCAGTTATGTCTTTATATCCCCAAAGGAATGACAAAGAGTTACATACCAGAAAAACACATGGAAGGTTACAGCTTCCTCCAGGAGAGATGTCAGTTGAATACATTGCTTGGTAGTTGCTTTTTATGAAAACTGAGTCTCAGAAAAGTTGTGAAAAATCACTCAGCTTCAAGTGGAGTTAGGACCTGAAACCAAACTTCCCCACCCAAACCTAAGATCCCTCCCACCATAGGTGGACTAGGGACTCCTCCTTTCTCAAAATGGGGAGTACAGGTGCCAGGCTCTTTTGGCAGGTGTTCTGCCTGTACATTTGATTTTAGACCAAGGAGACCGAGGCTCAGTTTCTTGCTGCTTTCTTCAAATTTAACTGGGGAGGTAAGCAGGCCTCTTATTTCTAGGGTTGTCAGAAGGCTACACCTTTCCCAAATCCTTTCAAAATAAAATTTTAGTCATAAAATAAGCACATGCCCAGGGTTGAAAACATAAGGGCCATTTTACTAGTGACTTAAAAAAATTGTTATTCCTTTTTTTTTCTCTTTCCTACTTATACTTCTGTGTTATAGTAGTTGAAAATAGATAGATAAATTTTAACCAAATTTGAAGCATGTCTTTGGGGTGGGCTGACTTAAAACACAGGTTAAATGGCATACACAAACTTCTTACCGAGGTCCTAAGGGCCTACAAAGATGGACGGACACTTTCTTGACCCTTGAAAATGAGCAATGAGGCCTATGGTAGGCTGCAAAATACCACCCCAAAAATATAACCACATCCTAATCCTGGAACATGTGAATGTTAATTTATGGGAAAACAAGTCTTTGTAGATGTGATTAAGAATTTTGAGATTATTTGGATTATCCGAGTAGGCCCTAAAGGCAATCACAAATGTCCTTACGAGGCAGCAGGGGGAGACGAGACACATACACACACATGCGGGGACAATGTGAAGACAAGTAGAGACTGGAGCAATGTGGCCACAGCCAAGGAATGCCAACAGCTACTAGAAGCTGGAAGAGAGCAGTAAGTATTCTCCCCTAAACTTTTGAAGGGAGCACAGTACTGCCAGCATCTTGATACCAAATTTCTGGACTATAGAAATGAGAAAATGAATTTCTGGTGTTTTAAATTTCCCAGTTTGTGGCAATATGTTACAACAGCCACAGACAACTAATATAAGGCTTATGTGACTTTCCATCAGGAGAGAACTGAGATCAGCAAAACAGCCCCAGGTAGGTGTTTCAGATATCACCCCAACAGCTTCAACAAACTTAAGGCAAACATTCTGATTTTTAAATCAGTTGGCTCTTGACCACATTATTGCTTCTATGGGGGAGATTCTGTGTATTGGACTGAAACATGCAATTACCATATCTATCAGTCAAAAATATTCACAGTGTCTATATATGGCCCAATCCAATAATAATATATAATAGTATGTCCCCAGTAAACTATAGCTAGGACTTAGAAATGACTGATGACTCCAAATAATAACATGAACTATACCATATGCTACAAGACTATGAATTTTGACACTTGGATTAGTAATAGGATCTACCTTTCCTTATAGCCTGGATTTTCTTTTCAAAAATGCTAAACATTTGGCAAATTTGAGGAATATCTATAGCCTGATCCAGTTTAGTTTATTAAAACTATTATCTTTAATAGCTTTTTTCAGGTTAATCTAGAGCTAACTTTTTTATTAGGATTTACAGAGTTCTATTAGTATGTAGGAAGGGATGGCTCCTTGTCAGAAAGAAAACTGGTCTTGAGGGGCAACACAACAGTAGGTAAAAATAGCATTACCTATTTGCTCTGAATAAGTTCATTGTAAGGAGTGAAGGACAAGATTTTACATTGGAAACGAGGAAATCTTTAAAGTAGAAAATATAGTAAAGCTTGAAAGCAGAATCATTGTGAGAATAAAATCAAACTAAGTCTCCAAAGATGAAAAATGACTCACACATACCACAGAAAGGAAACTCCCACTGAGCAAACCAGGAACTTGAGTGAGACAGTTTTCACTTGGAACAAGAGACTGACTCAAGAGAGCTCGGGTGAAGGAGTTTGTTTCAATATACAAAGACTGGCTAATCAAAATACCAGAGCCACAGAGGGCTCAGCCTTACTGAGATTAGAGTTGTAGGATGTTCACTCTTCAACCTGGCTTTTGGTTCCTAAGCAGCCTTTGGAATTTCAACATCCAAGGTTTTATGTAAAAGGTAAGTTCATGGTCAAAGTGCTTTTGTAAAGTAGCTTAAAACGATTTCCCCCGGATTTGTTGAACCTTTTATCATTTACCATGTGTTTTAAATAATCAAGGACAGGATTACATAGTACATTTTCCTAAAGATCTTTTAACCAAGAGTCCAGAACTAGGGGACCACAGTATATAATATATTCTGTGAAATGCTGTGCTACACATTCGTGTTATACTGGACAATTTTAAACTCTAAACCTCTGCTGGAGCTAGGGCTGACGGGACTGGAGGAAAGCCAGTTCAAATTATTGAGGCCTGGAGGTCCAGAAGCAAGCTGGGGGACAGTCAACATTGCACACAATACCAATTCCATATAATGATTTTTAGCCTGTTAGCCTTTGCTGTGTGGTCTAAAGCCACTCTAAGCAGCTGTAAACCTAATATCCATAGACAGTTTCAATTCAGTTTGGAGGGCAGTCTCCAAAATGTTTTGGACAATGACAGCATTACTGAAGGATAAAGCCTCCTAAACACTCAGACTTACTTCATTGTTCTCACTAAATGTAGAAGTTCTAGTGTTTAACTGTTCTCATTTTCATTTATTTGAACGGAGATCAAAATGTCATAATCGTGAATGGCAACAGTCCCTTTACTATATGGATATTACCACGTTAGGGACAAGTTCTGTTAACCATAAAGAACTACCACAATGTAGCAACTTACATTTTCATATTGTATTTTACAGCTCTATAACATTTGGACATTTTTAGGATATAATGATTTCAAGGGAAACTGGCATTTGAAAACAAAATTAGTCATTTGTCAAAACTCACTGAACTGTGCACACTTTAAGAGGGTAAACTTTACTGTTTACAAAGTATACCTCAACAAACCTGGCTTTAAAAAAATTAGGAAATTCTATGCTAGTATATTCTCATAAGGAAGGTATTTGCTGTTGAGACTTTTGCAATTTTTGGCCAATTCTGGGTGATGTGGTTATCACAGTAGGCAACAACCACTTAAATCCACTGAAGCTTTTCCAGAGATGACATGAAACATACCTGTTTTCCTATATCCAAGATCAGAAAGTTGGTGGCAGACATGCAATCATGCCTCCCCCATCTACAAAGAGACTGTGGTTATACCAGGCCATGCTCCCCAAGAGCTGCACTCCACCAATGAGCATGGTGGGGAGACAAAGGCTGGCAGGCTCCTGGATACATGAAATGCTTCAGAATCACGACTTCGAGTTGAGGACTCCGTCAGCCTTGCTAAAGCTTTCTTACAACTGCACTAGCATCTGAGACCTTCCCTAATTCCCTCTCTCCAGAGGTCACACCTGCCTCATGACCTCTCAGATCTCAGGTTCTTCCAGTATTCTCCAGCCTCCCTCTCCTTTCCCCTTATTGTCATTCACTCTCAATAAGTCTCTTGAGTATCTAATGCCATCTCAGTGACTGTTCCCCAGAGGACCCAAACTATTGGGTATTTGTCCTCACGCTCCCTCTCTCTTTGGCTGAGGGCTGCTCCAGGGACATTATCTGGTTGATACTCTAGTCTATTGCACAGGCCAAAAGAAAGCCCTCAGGCAGAGGTGCAGATGGTTATAGTAGGGACACCAGGACATTAACAGGGGAATGGGTGGTACACCAAACATATCTGATGCAATAATATTAATCAATCCTTATCATTGTGGTTTGTCTCAATAAAATAACTTTCGTTTTAAAAAACCTTCCTCACCTATTTTGGGAGTTCATTCAGATTGCTCCAAAAGAAAAACTGAAAAGGCAAAACTTTCAGCTAAAATATCACCTTCTGAAGTTGTCTTGACAATTCCTGTCATCAGAAAGGATGTCCTTTAGCTATTTCAAGAATGAACATTTTCTGGTTTAAGAGATGAGAACCACTTGTTCTACGCAGTTCTATGCTAATTTCACCTTACATTAAGGTCCTAGTGTACTGTTCAAGCCCATTTCTGAAACCAAAATAGCCTGATGAATTTTGTAAGATAAA